TTTTACCATTACAATTTTTACCATGGTATTGAGGTGCTATGTTTGGTTTTAACTGTGGTTGTCATGATCTAAATGTACGCTACTATGGAAGACCAATGGTTAATTTTAATAAAACATTAAAAAATAAAAGTCAGAATAATTAAATTTCACCATATAAAAATGAGGTTGTTACAATTTTTACAGACGTTACTGTTTTTGATAATGAACATAAATTTACATCTGCATCCTCAAGCTACTACTGTCAACTCAAGCTACTGTCAAATGTGCATTTCTAAGAGACCAAAAAATGTCATATTATTAATATTGGAGCCTGCCCTGCAAACTGTGCTGAAGATATGCATCAAAGTCAGGCGACACAATCCTAGTTCATGATTTGAAACAATATCACTCATTAGAACATGCAGAAACTAAGAAATACATTTTTCTATTAATATATTTATTTTGTTAAGGAAAAATGACTGGAAAAGTGTAAAGAATTCAAAAATGTGAAGTGTTTGTCATGTTCCGACCGTAAAGAGTAGTTTAAAACCACAATTAACTGCCTGGTTTCTACAACTTTCACTAAGGAGAAAAAAATCTAACTTTAAACTTGAAAGAAATAAAGATTTGAAATTTATTGTGATAATTACCGATATCTTCTGAAACGAAAATTTTTATTGTGATAATTTTTTTTTGGCCATATCGCCCAATATTTGAAAGCAGAAGGGAAGATTTTGAGCAAATAACATCTTGAAACCTTCAGCTGTGTCCCAACTGAGTGGCTAAATCCTTCAAAAGACGCAGACTTCAAAGGCCACTATATAAAAAAATATTTTTTAAAAATTGCATCTTTAGTAAGATATGTTGAGATAGTGAATTGGTGGGTTTTTGTTAAATGTGAGCCAAAATCATCACAATTAAAAGAACCAAAGACTTAAACTACTTCAGTCTGTGTGCATTGAATTTATTTAATACACGAGTTTCACAATTTGAGTTGAATTACTGAAATAAATGAACTTTTCCACGACATTCTAATTTATTGAGATTCACCTGTATGTGTTACTATGAAAATTAACATGGCAACCCCAAACACATCTTGGATGAATATATGGATAAGGTCACATCATTTTAATTGTTCCAAGTTCAAGTTTAAAATAATGTTTCCATTAAAAAATTTAAACATTCATTTTCAGACATTTAACATCAAACACTGATTATATTTGAAAGCAGAAGGGAAGATTTTGAGCAAATAACATCTTGAAACCTTTAGCTGTGTCCCAATTCAGTGGCTAAATCCTTCAAAAGACGTAGACTTCAAAGGCCACTATATAAAAAAAATTGCATCTTTAGTAAGATATGTGACAACATAAAAATGAACTAGGCCTACTTTAAACTACCTAAAATCTAATCTAAAATCATTATATATTTGTGTAAGCTGAAAACCAATACATTTAAAATGTAATCTGGCATATTACTCTCAAAAAAATAAAAAGTCATGCTGTCACTGTCGCGCAATGAAATTTGGGATAATATGGGCTGCAAAGGATCAATTTGTTGTGTCCTTCATGGCCCGGGAAACCTTTGAAAAGGCTCTTTGAATGCATCCTTCAAAGGATTCGGCCTCTGAATTGGGACAGCTTTTGTGTCATCAGCACACTGAAGTTATCTTGAGAAGACTTGGAATATAGTACAACATAAGCTCTATGGACTACTTTTATGTTCCTTGTTTTTGTCATTTTTGGAGCCAAGCAGCCATTGTCCCCATTCACTTTAACTGTCAGGACAACAGCAGCTTGGGCATTCTTCAAAATTTCTCCTTCCGTGTTTTACAGAAAAAAGAAAACATTTGGTTTTAGAATTAATTGAGAGTGAGAAAATTATGACAGAATTTTAATTTTGGGACAAACTATTCCTTTGGTTAAATAATTCATAAATAATTAATGCATGGACAACTAAGTGTGTGAGCAATTGGGACACATTATCAAACTTTCAGTCTCCAGTCTAATAGTAACTCCATCCATACGGCTTTGTGAATATTTCAATAGTTCAGAAAAGCTGTCAGTGTTTGTCCTGGCTTCAGAGGAGGCCTTCTGAGAATGCAAAGGGATATGGCATTGCAACATGATTAATAAAACATGTCAAAATCCACTCTATTAACTCCATTAAGGGTTGACACCTGGAAGACGACACTGGGCCAGCCTTCAGCAGCCGCATGGCATCTGTTCATCAATCTGTCCCGATAATCAATCCATCACTGGTCTGCACATCTAATATGGACTCTGAGAATGCAAAGGGATATGGCATTGCAACATGATTAATAAAACATGTCAAAATCCACTCTATTAACTCCATTAAGGGTTGACACCTGGAAGACGACACTGGGCCAGCCTTCAACAGCCGCATGGCATCTGTTCATCAATCTGTCCCGATAATCAATCCATCACTGGTCTGCACATCTAATATGGATCACAGAGACTTTCTGACATCAAAATATAGTTCAGGTGTCTATATTTTACTCTTAACTTAATGTCACTCTCCTTCAATGTATTTTGATGGGCACCCAATGCAATTCTAATTTAGTTCCATTCCATTTCATTCAATGAAATGGGTGTTGTCCATTTTTTTCTATTTTCTTTTATTAGATTTGGAATATTTTGTCAGACAATCAATGACTTCAAGTGTTAATAAATTGCATTGCGCATCTACAGCAAAATTCAAACAAAATAAATGTTGAGACAGTAATACTATAAAAAACATAACAAGGTGAAATGCATCAGGGTTGACAGTTTTACAGTTAATTTATCATTATTAGCATCTTGCTCAATGTCAAAAGAGTACAAAGTGTGTTTTATGCTGATAATTACGCTGATATTTCACCACATATCCGGTTTACAATAATTACTTGTCATCATGGTAATTGTGATGACTATTTAAAATCATCCACTATAATGTAAGATGAAATTACATAAAGACAACACATGTGATTGAAGAGTTTACATGATGATGTCAATGTATTTTTTTAATCTAAATCATTTTAGTAGGGGAAGATTACGATGGAAACAAGTTTGACACTAAACATGGGATCACAGACTTAAGTCTTTTTAATACGATATTATCCACTAAAATCTGACACGTTTACACACACACACACACACACACACATATATATATATATATATATAAACATGTATTTGCTAATAAATCTGCTAAAACAAAAATAAATAAATAAAAATCAAACACAGAAACAGGCCAAAAAGGCAACATGGAGAAAGATGATGAAAATAAAACAAACAATTACAAAAATAAAATCTATGAGATTGGTGTAAATAAAAAGCCTACAACAGAACGTAGTAAAAGTTGTTGTCAGTTTTGCATTTGTAAAGTCATTGTTTACATGTTCATGAGTGATACAAAAGACTCATTCATGGAATAACCCTGACAGTTCTTCAGATAGTTTACATACTAATTAAATCACTTTAAAATTGGTTAGCAACATCATAATCGGTTTCAAACCAGTTTTCAGTGAACTTTGACCATGCAAACACTTGTGTTTGAACATCACAGTCCGTGCATAAGACTTTATAAACACAGCAACAGCGTCATCTGATGAAGTCTGTATTTCATTTAATCAAAACATCACAATAATGTGACATCCAGACCCCTGTTACAATGAACAACCATAGTTTCTCTTTCAAAGCTACCCACTCGACTCAATATCAACAAACTGAGCTGAACTGCACTATGCAACAGCAAACAACTCAGCAAAATGTGTCATTTTACTGCAAGACAAATTTACCTGCGGGTATGAATAAAGTAACCTAACCTTAAATACATAAAGGATGTTTGTGTTATTTAACATGTTTGCATTTGACTGTTTGTATTCATTTTGAGGAATACTGAATCTGTTTTTGTGCGAGTGAGATGAGTAAATACATGTTCACATTTAGTCTAGAACTACATGTTCACACAGCGCACACAACACCTCTGCACTCACTCCTGATTTCTCTCAACATGAGGACAGGAGAGCTGTCAGTTAATAAATGGGAAACAAAGTAACTGGCGTTACTTGTTTGAAAAAGTAACTCAGATATTTTCTTGTAAATTAAAAAGTAATGCATTACATTACTAGTTACTTGAAAAAAGTAATCAGATTACATAACTTGCGTTACTTGTAATGCGTTACCCCCAACTGTCACGAATCCGGTTCATGGACTTCCGTCCAATTACCACCAAAGGTCGCTCTTCCATTTTAATGACTCTCTCACTACACAGACTTTCACATGTCACCCTGGACTACATTTCCCAGCAGCCATTTCACTAATCACACGTTCACCTGAAACCAAACACACACACTATATAACACCCACTCAGATCCTGTTCAAACTGCCGAGTATTGTTTAAGCGTTCTGGACTATTCTTGTGTCTTGCCCTCAATATACCTGTTGCCATTGTCTGACCCTCGCCTGTTTCTGACCACGCCTTTGAATAAAAGCTTTGCAAATGGATCCGCACGTCTCTCGTCCCTGTGGCCTCGTTACACCAACACTGCATATCTCAGTCTCGTTTTCATTCCTGTCATTAATTAAATATGGCTCTACCCTGACTAAGGTCTAAAACTTACATTTTAGACACAATATTGACAGTTACTTAGCCTGTTTTTGCTCCCCAAACGTAAATAGTTCAATAAGAAGCCAATAGCGGAATAAACCGCTGTAACTCTCCGAACACAGGGTTTCTGAGTCAATCAGTACTTTTGAACTAATCGGGTAATTGAATGATTAATTGACTCCTAATACACAAAATGTCGACATCTACTGGCGTAACCTACAAGAATCCAAAGTGTAATAATATATATATATATATATATACATACAATTTTATAAAATTACATAGTTATGTATTCTGATTAACTATAATAATGTTAAAAAATATTTAAATGATTTAAACATGACCCTTTTGAATATCACAAGATAACACATGGCACAAACAATGGAAAAAAAGACCAATACAAAGCAATTTTAGCATTCAACACTTTATTCACAAAGTAATGAGCACTATCAAATGTTCACTGGTAAACCAAACCAAAAATATAAGTATGATAAATCTATAGAACTGTACAAGACTTTGTTAAAACCATCTCATCTCTTTTTTAAATTCCTTTTTCAAAAACAGCCGTCCTTTTGAAAGTGCCAAAGGAAAATTTCTCCTCCTCTCCACATCGTCTCCTATCCTCCAGTTTATGCACAATACATCTTTATAATAATTATGATGGTTTTTAAAACAACCATACACAATCTCAGGTGAGGGGTGGATGATATACACTGATATGGAATATGTGAACAGACCTGTACTGATGAAGTATCCCAGAGTATGTGGATTGATCAGGGATCAGATTATTACCCTCTTGAACATTATAATCTCAATCACAATCATCAAAGAACCAAACTGATCTCAAAACAGGGATGGATGAAATACATCTGGAAGGTAATAATTTAAACAACCTTAGATACATCACCATAAAAAACTGAATATGTGTATTAAAGAACTATTAAAAATATGCTGCATAAATAAACCTCAAGATGGAGTGATATCTTTATGTCTGGCGGTCAGTTTAGCTTCAAATGTGTGATAAAAAATATCCTTTAACCATTTACATTGCAAACACACCTTAAAATACATACATTTCATATATTTGCTCTGATATTTGTAGCATTGTGTATAGCCAAAGTTTTAAGAACAAGCTAAGGTTACAAATATGACGTGGCATGTTTTGTACATCAAAATTTCTTTCTCAGTATGCTCGGGGAAAAAAACATATTTTTTTTTGTCAAATACAAATAATGACCAATACATCAAATGAACCATTTTTCTTTCTTTTTTGTTTTTATTGGTTAATTGGTTCAACTTGTTATACTGCAATAAGCAGCCAGAAAACTGTAGGAAATTTAGATTTAGATTTTTTTCTATTGAACAAAAAAAAATTTTACACTGGGAGCAACAAATGAAATCAGAAAGCTCCATTTAATTACACTTAAATTCACTTTTGACTTCAGATACAGCATGTTCACACACACAACACACAAACACACACATTCGCCACTGACCTGTCTGAGGTGTTGTTCAGTGAAGTTATAAGGCTGTAAAAGACATTGTCCCACAAAGTGAGACATCTTCTGGAGACTAGAAAAGCAGCCATCAAGAATTATGTTGCAAAACCGGTTTCAAAGTGAGTCAAGTATGAACGGTCACAACAACTCAATCCTTGGGAAGTTTTACTGCTATGAATTTTAACCCCCAGCCTTCCCAAATCCCATCAAAAAAGATAAAAGAATAAAAACAGAGTAAAGAATCTAAGTTAAAAGATAAAAATGTGCTCTGTTCAAAGCCTAGCCGATCTCATGGACAAGTTGGGAAAACAGTCCGACTGTAGATGGAAATGTCGCTGGGTGTCGCCGCGCTTCTGAGGCCAGTCCATAATGGAGTGAGGGAACATACAGGATAAGAAAAACAAACTGTATGCTGGCATTAAACATCCTCTTCCTTCACATCCATCAAATTTAGAAGTATTTTGCGATGTCTGTCTGAGATGGGACGGTATGAGAGAGAGGAATATTACATAAGAGTCAAATCGTTTCCTGCAAAATGTCATTGCAGTCACAGTGGGCGGAGCTTAACCTTCCTGTCCGTCTCTAAACAAACTCCTCCTTTTCCTCCTCATCACCGTCCCTCCCTTCTCTCTGTATGTCCCCTTTCAGTTCTCCAAGAGGAGCGTCCCAGCCTGCATTGTCCACTTGTGACCCGACAGGTCGCATGGGATGTGATGAAGGCGAAGGAGGAGAAGAAGAAGAGGGACGTTCCACTTGGTTTAGCCCCAAAGCGTCTCTCAAGATCTCAGCGCCAGCTTCCTTCAATAAAAGAGCGGGCGTGGCCAGAGTGGTCAGGTAGATGGCTGAAGCGGATTGGCTGGAGGACACCAGGGCGTGGCCTCTTCCTGTTTGTCCGTCCTCAGGGCGGGGCGGAGAGTACGGCTGGTTGTCGTTGCTGAGGAGCGTGAACATGTGGTCCACGGAGCGGCTGAAATGAGCCCAGTCCTCGAGGCTGAGGGTGAAGTTGAGTTTGAGATCGTAGGCGTGCTCATCAAGTCTGTACAAAGGTTCAAGTTCGGACCAGTTCGGCTCGCCGGGAAACATGTTGGTGTCTTCCGGGACGTCCTCGTTCCATGAGTTATCCTTCCCATCCTTCCCATATCTGTCCTCTGTGGGGGAACACAACCACAAATGTTAAACATTTTCGTCCAGCGACAAAACAGTTTAAGGCACTGATTAAAAGTGGATGCATCAAAATGGAGATGGATGCTTGTGATTGTAAAAACAGAAAATAAACAATAATCAAAAACCCTGAAAAGGCTTATGATGGTGAAGGAAGGAAGGAAGTACGTAAATGTTTCAGGCTTCGAGTGAGATGAGGTGAAGATGATGAGGGGCAAGTGATGGGAATCTTCCCTCGTGCTCAGAAACAAAACTGCTATTTTTCCAAACAGTTCCCATGCAGATAGACGCCTCTACAAACTAATGCTGTATCATGCAGGCCAGGCAGATGCATTCAAGAGAAAGGAAATTAAAAAGAGAGTGAGAGAACGGTGATTCAGACAAGGTAGTGGCTTGGTGGCATTGTATCCTATGGACGAGAAGCAGAATTATTATCCAAACTCACAGCGATTTGGAGACAGGCTTCCTCACTTTAGGCCATTTCCGACGCTGAAACTGCCTAATGCGACAAGCAACGATAAGACAAACTGTTACCCGCCCCCAAACTCAAGCATGTGATAGAGACACAGCCAATCAGAGAACTGAAGGCTTTCACATTCACACAACAACACCCAAGGCTGAATACATGCAAGGCACAGAATAGGGCTAGAGAGGGAGACAAAACAAGACAGGCAAAGACAGAGAGAGAGAACAGAATCTGAAGGAGAAGACATCTGATCTGTCAAGGAAGTAACTGCGAGTTGAAATGTTTGCAATTGGACCCACATATTGAATGGGTGGGTTTGGTTGGTCATGACGTTTATAAGAACTAACTATTAGCTTAGAAAAAGGTATATCTACACTACCGGTCATGGGTACGGGGTCAGTTACACACACACACACACAAATGTTTAATTTAGATTTTTTTTATTCTTTATTTTATTTTATTTAGTTGTTTTCTGAACTTGCTTCAAACAATGCTTCCCATATTTTGGATGAATAACTTGCCCTCTGGTGTCTGTCAGTGTTAATCTAATGTTAGCTTTTTGCCATTGGTAACTGTTCGAGAGAACGGTGATTCAGACAAGGTAGTGGCTTGGTGGCATTGTATCCTATGGACGAGAAGCAGAATTATTATCCAAACTCACAGCGATTTGGAGACAGGCTTCCTCACTTTAGGCCATTTCCGACGCTGAAACTGCCTAATGCGACAAGCAACGATAAGACAAACTGTTACCCGCCCCCAAACTCAAGCATGTGATAGAGACACAGCCAATCAGAGAACTGAAGGCTTTCACATTCACACAACAACACCCAAGGCTGAATACATGCAAGGCACAGAATAGGGCTAGAGAGGGAGACAAAACAAGACAGGCAAAGACAGAGAGAGAGAACAGAATCTGAAGGAGAAGACATCTGATCTGTCAAGGAAGTAACTGCGAGTTGAAATGTTTGCAATTGGACCCACATATTGAATGGGTGGGTTTGGTTGGTCATGACGTTTATAAGAACTAACTATTAGCTTAGAAAAAGGTATATCTACACTACCGGTCATGGGTATGGGGTCAGTTACACACACACACACACACACACAAATGTTTAATTTAGATTTTTTTTATTCTTTATTTTATTTTATTTAGTTGTTTTCTGAACTTGCTTCAAACAATGCTTCCCATATTTTGGATGAACAATTTGCCCTCTGGTGTCTGTCAGTGTTAATCTAATGTTAGCTTTTTGCCATTGGTAACTGTTCTGGGTTCATTAGTTAATCTCTATCCTGCCAGTTACCACAGAAAATAATATCAGTGTGTTCCTCAGTTTGTAAAAATGACAGAAGTTTGCTTTTACTGATTAATCTGTGCCACCAGTTACCAATTTTATTTTATTTTTTCTTTCGTCCTTTCTTGTGCATCATTCATATATTTCATGACAATAATATAAATAAAAGAAAATAAAAATGGTCAACGTGTCAGTGATTTTTAAAATTCAATTCAATTTATTTTTGCTTTACTCAATAATCATTAAGTATTTATTGTTAATTTTGTACTAATTATTAGCACTATTTTATATTGCATTGAATTTTTTTCATATTTTTTTATTTTGTTTATAGTTTTCCCAACTTAATTATCAGCAAAATTCATTGGTCACTCTCTAAAAACAAGCAAAAATTGTTTACAGTAAAACCCTTACAATTAAGTCTGTGGAGCAAAGACAGGATACTCTTGTGCTCGGTAACTTTCACATAATAAATGTAAGGACACCAGAAAGACACTTTCTGTGGAAAAACGCCACCTGCAGGTTAGTGACTGGAAGTTCATCCACCTAGAGTCTGCATTAAAGGGCGTTTTAGACAGTTGTACAACTCAAATAATGCATAAGCATTAATATGCGTTTTTAAAAATACCAGAATATCTTGCGCCACAGACTTCCATTGTACGTGCATTACTGAATACTTGATTTTTATTTTACTGAAGAATAAGTTATTATTATGCATTCTGACTTATTCTAGAGTAGAGCCAAACTTGTATTTAACCTGCAACATTCCTTTAACAGCAAATTGATATCAAATCAGTTATAGTTTCAACGTCATCCTCTATGACAGAGAGGTCTTCTCCTTGATTTCACATTGAGGAGTGAATTCCTGTGATGCCTTTAGGTGTGTGTGATGTGCATCAGACTAATCAACATTCACATTTAAGCTCCAAGCTGTCTACAACAGAACTGCAGAAGTGGATTAGCATCTTCATCATTCTCACAGTAGCCGTCTAGTCTACAACGGGGTTAAATTAATTTGGCAGTGATACCTGTATTCATCATAGCTGCTTCTCTCTTTACCCCCTGAAGAAGAGACAATATCATTAGTTAGAGAGTGTAAAAACAATGTGATGTACAGCCCCATTAATGTTTAAGATCCTCACGAAAGCATCACTGGAAAAACAACTCTGGGCTTCTGTCCAAGGGTCATGTGAAAGGTCGCAGTGCCAAGATTAGATCATCCATTGTTGTGGATGGAGTTGCAAGGGTCGGAATAAATGAGCTTGATAAAAGTCATGTTTTGGAAAATAACGAATCTGCAGGCTCAATATGCAGATGCAGAGTATTAATGTTCATCTTGAGCTGATGAATTGCAATTCTGATCCCTTTCAGATGGCTTTCATGCACAATAAAATCTCAACTGACTTTTTTATGGCAAGCTCAATCTGTTCTGTAAAACTAAGCTTCTCAAACAAGTCAAGCAATGCTAAATGTAAATAACAAATTGCAACTAACAATACAATTGTGCACAGTTAGCTACTTTTTTAAGGAAGAAAAAGCAATTCCCATAATATCCAAGAAAACTTTTTATATTATTTTTGTACAAATTCATCTGTCATTTTACCAAATTATGTATATGTTATCACTGACAGGTTGTGTGATTAAACAATTTAACGTAAAGGAAAATATGAGCTAGACTATAATAAACAAAGGTTGTTTTGCTGTTTAAGCACACTACTGTTCAAAAGTTTGGGGTCAGAAGATTTTTTGATAGAAAAAAACACATAATAATAAAATATTTTACAATTTTACTGTATTTTTGATTGAATAAATGGAGCCTTGGTGAGCATAAAGCCCCGTTCACACCAAGAATGATAACTATAAAGATAACGATATTAGCGTCCACACCAGCGAACAATATCGTCGGTTTACCATCTTGTGCCGACTAAACTGACTTGAACGCACCTGACGTCGTAATTACGTAATTGTCAACTCGTAAGTACGAACGTCCCAGGAGGACTTGAACACATGCGTCTGCCGCTTTAAATTATTTTTGGAAAAAAATCGTTCTAAAAATGATTCCAACGATATCGTTTCTCTGTCCCTTTAGTGTTATAGCTGTGGTGTGGACTCTGCTATTCTTTAATATTGAGAACGATTTTTAGAACTATATCTTTATCGTTATCTTTATAGTTATCGTGCTTGGTGTGAACGGGCCTTAAGAGACTTCTTTCAAAAACTCTGTTCTGTAAAACTAAGCTTCTCAAACAAGTCAAGCAATGCTAAATGTAAATAACAAATTGCAACTAACAATACAATTGTGCACAGTTAGCTACTTTTTTAAGGAAGAAAAAGCAATTCCCATAATATCCAAGAAAACTTTTTATATTATTTTTGTACAAATTCATCTGTCATTTTACCAAATTATGTATATGTTATCACTGACAGGTTGTGTGATTAAACAATTTAACGTAAAGGAAAATATGAGCTAGACTATAATAAACAAAGGTTGTTTTGCTGTTTAAGCACACTACTGTTCAAAAGTTTGGGGTCAGAAGATTTTTTGATAGAAAAAAACACATAATAATAAAATATTTTACAATTTTACTGTATTTTTGATTGAATAAATGGAGCCTTGGTGAGCATAAAGCCCCGTTCACACCAAGAATGATAACTATAAAGATAACGATATTAGCGTCCACACCAGCGAACAATATCATCGGTTTATTCTAATGGTGCGTTCAAGTCGTGTCGGATAGATCGTATTTACAAGTTGAACGCACATGAACGCCACCACAAAGTCGTTATTACAAGTGGGAAACTCGAAATTTTCTTTAAGCCCCGAGTTTCCGAGTTGGGGGCGTGACCAATGAAAAACATGGCGGAATCGATGGATGCAATGTCTGTAGTTGACGGTCAATTTTTGTTTAAATTGATAGTTTAGTTGTCCTATAAACTTAAATTGGTCATGTTCTTGTTACGCAGCTAGTTAATGAAATCCAAGTAAAAAAATGCTATAATTTTTGCACCTATAGGTGAAAAATAATCGTTCTAAAAATGATTCCAACGATATCGTTTCTCTGTCCCTTTAGTGTTATAGCTGTGGTGTGGACTCTGCTATTCTTTAATATTGAGAACGATTTTTAGAACTATATCTTTATCGTTATCTTTATAGTTATCGTGCTTGGTGTGAACGGGCCTTAAGAGACTTCTTTCAAAAACATTTAAAAAATCGTATGACCCCAACCGTCTGAACGGTCTATTCAGCCTATGTCGTCCCCCCCCCGTGGCTAAGCACTTCATGCTAATATAAATAACCTTTGTCTACAAACATTTTAAGTTTTCACTCTACTCTTGCATTTTAATGTTACCTTTTGAGAAATGTAATCAGATTGCAAGCACCGGTGACTTCCTTTAGCAAGAGCTGTCCTTGAGTTCATTTCGAGTGAATCAATAAGTGACTCAATAAATGTGACTCTTCTGTTTTTATCACTGGAATGATCACTTCTGCTAAAAGCTAATTTCAGTCACATCCGTGTGGATTTGATGACTTCGAGAGCATGGAGTACATCATGTCAGGTACAACTAAGGACATGGTAACATCGTCAGACAGCATGCTGTGTGGCACATGTTTACCCTTCAGGACAGCAGCTCAGGAGGTGACGGTACGCGTTTCTGTTTGCATATAAAACAAGGAGGACAGGAAGCAAGGCAAGGCCAGGGATCAGGTGAGGATGATGATGATGAAGATGTGAAACTCCATGTTATCCTTTGCCTTGGTCCTTTCAGAGGGAAGTGTGTGTGTGTGGCACATGTATTAGTCAGTGTGTTGCAACCTCTGGGCTAGATGCCTAGCAGAATGATGCAGCAGTGTGTATGCATACAGTATATGTTCGTGTGCGCTGTGGAGGTATTTTCACTTATGTGTGTGTGTGTGAGTGACTCACCCATGTCGAGGCTGCGTGTACGAGGGTTACACTGCTTGTGTCCCTTACAGCCCCTGAGCTCCATGAGCTGAACATGCAGTTGATTGAGAACATACCGGTCCAGTGTGTTCACTGCATTCACCAACTACACATTCAGAGAGAGAGAGAGAGAGATGCATGTTCATTTTTGATAACATTTTTGACTAAATATTGTCACAGTATAAGAATTAACAATTTTACTTCTGTTCCCATTTCAATACTTATTTAGACCAGGGACATTTATTAAGAAAGTAAAAATGGTCCATGGTGATTTCATGTTGTCTTTATGTCTATGTTGTCTATATGAGCACTGACCTGATATGGATCCGTGTTTATGTCAAAGTATTCCAGAAATCCAGTGGCAAATTCACAGAACAGGAAGTTGTGTGTCTCATTAATGGTCCTCATGCACCAGTAGCTGTTGTTATTGGCACTAGTGCACGCACAAAACGGCCCCACTGAAAACAAAGATGAAAAGTGTGAGACACATCAATCCAGTCAACACGTTTTCACTCCCAAATTGTCACATATGAACGCTTGGTAGGGACCACTTGGTGTCACTTTTTAACAAACTGGCCTTCTCTTTAGCTTCTGTTTTTAATGTGCAGGGAACCCCATTACTTTACAGTTGTGTGCCTTATGCGTCAGATCCAGATGCATTTAATTCTTTGCATGCAGTTGTAAAAGCAATATTTTTTTTATGGTAACACTTTCATTTTAAGGACCTATTCTCACTATAAACTAACATGCATATTACTAGCATATTGGCTGTTTTTTAGAGCTTATAAAGCACATTTTAATGCCTTATTCTGAATCTGCATTACCATATTTTAGTCAAAAGTATTTATTTCAAAGACTGACCAGAAATGCTTTACAAATTTCATGTGTTGTAGTCTTCAAAATTACTGTGTCTGTTTAAGTTGAAAATCATACTACATAATATATATCATAATGACAGTACAGTACTCTAATATATAATTTCAAGGCAATAAATCTCCCATGCTCTTCCTGTCTGTGTATTGACGCAAAAGGTTTCTCAATGAAAGTAATAGAGTAACCTGCATGCTGAAAAATCATGCTAATTGATCCAGTCCAGACTCGCAGACAGACTGTGTGTGTGTGTGTGTGTGTGTGTCTTACGTGTCCAGAATGGAGCGGTCTGCCAGTGCTGGTTGTCGTGTGTGAAGCAGGTGAGGCCAGGCATGCTGCAGGTGTCATTGTTACGCAGGCGCTTCAGTAACTTCCTCAGCTTCTTCCTGCGCTTTTGTTCCAACAATAACCAGGCCTTCTTACCCTTCTCCTGTCCTTTCCTACAGAGACAGAGAATCATCAAAACTGTAATCATGCATCCATCTACACACACATATAGACACAGAAACCCACCTGAAGGGATGGACACCTCCTGCTTTGTATTTCCTCAGTTTACTCTTGTACATGGATTTGTAACTAAAAGAGAGGAAAAATTTAGTGAGTCATCACTAAATAGAATTTTAACCAGAATATATTAAAATAATACATAAATAATGTACACAATACATAAATAATTATTTTCACATATTCAGTATCTGATATATTGATTACATATTAGAATTTGTATTTTATGAAATATTTATGTAATTCATTTTTATAATAAAATTAATTGTATTATTTTTATTATTATTATTTAATATTTTTTTATTTTATTAATTTACTTTATTATATATTGTATGTATTGTATGGAATATACATTAAAAGTATACATTACTTTAAATACATTAATTATTAATTTAAGTATTAAAAATTATGAATAAGAATTCAATAATCATAGGATTTTTTTATTTAATTATTTTAATTTAATTTAATTAATAATTATAAAAAATATGAATGAATCTGAATAAATTGGACAAATACAGAACAACAGTAAAGAGATAATAATAGACAGATGTGACTCTCACTAGTATTTGTTGCAGTCACACTCTTCAGGTCGTGCCTTTTTCAGATGACCTCGGACCTCACGAAGGTTTTTAATCTTTGTCTGGAGTGTTTCAATCTGGGAAAAGAGATGAAAATGTAGGCTACATAATGATATAACATATGCAATATAAATGTACTTAATTAAAATTGTAATGGGAATAAGATACATGAGTTTTTATAAAGTTTTACTGATGCTTTTTTGTCTGTTTTTTTTATTTTGCAGCTGGTCATTGTTCTTTTTGTTCATAACATTCTGCTAAACACCCCTTTTTATGTTCCACGGAAGAAAGAAAGTCATACAGATCTGGAACAAAATGCATGTGAGCAAAGGATGACAGAAAGGTGGAAGCGTGTGTCATACTTCGTGGTCGATGTGGAGCTTGTGGTCCTTCCATGCTTGCAGCGATTTGTACAGACCAACGTCACATTTTACTGTATCATTGGCCAAAATGGAACATCTGAAACACACACACACACACACACACGCACACACACATTCTCTTTGATGCATATACTCCCTCTTTTGTCCGTCATGTGTCTCTATTGAAGCACACACACTCTCACTCCTCACCTGTGAGTGACTTTAATAGACGAGGGCACAGCCAGGCTGTTGCTGGTCTGGCTGACTGCAGTGGGTCCCACACCGCTGAACTCGTCCTCGTCCGCTGTGTTCTGCCCAAGGCTGAGGTTTCTGGGGCCTGAGGGTCTGTATTCATGATCCAGATCCACTGCGTACAGGTCTCCTCCCATCTCCATGGAAGCAGCACGGGCAAAGCGGTTCCTAGAGTAGCTCTTCAGTAATTTCAGTTCTGTCAATCAAATGCAGGGCTTGCCATTATCACTTGTCGAGGACTTTTGTTTTTCATATTAGATACTATATAATGTGAAGACTGTTTTTAGTTATTTATTCATATATTAATTTTTTTGTAACAAATCAAGTCATGTCTTTGAGCAGAATTTCTTTATATTCTAAAAATTTCACAACAATATAAAAAAAGTACAGTCATTTTGATAATAATAATTATATTAATACATATTCCAGACATATGTTGTTAGTTATTTTCTAGTTCATCAGTTATTTTAAATTGTAAAAATATTTCACAATATTAATGTTCTACTGTATTTTTGATCAAATTAATGCAGCCTTGGTGAGCATGAGAAACTTAAAGAGAATTTTAAAAAAAACTTACCAACAACAAACTTTTGAATAATTATTATTTGTAATATATTATGAAACGTGATTCATTATATTAAATTAATTGAATAATAATAATAGATTTGAATATAATTAAAATTATATTAATATATATATATATTTTATATTATGACTAATAATATGTAATAATGACTAATAATATGCAATACTATACTATGCAAAATAAATCTTGAATTATAAATATATTGCTTAATATAAAGCTGATCTATTATAAAGAGTAAATATGAATAAATTAGAATAACAATGAGATGACTGACAGATGTCACTCTCACTAGTGAAATGTTTGTCCATTTTCTTTTACGTCTTACCTCTCCACTAGAGGGCAGCAGAGGCAAAGAGAATAATTCTGTGTGCATCCTGAATGATTTTTGGAGGACTTGTTGCTGTGTGTGTTTGTAACTCAGTATCTACTCATACTCACTCTTTTTGGCGAGCAGCTTATTCTTGGAGAAGGTGCTCAGTCTGTAGCTTTTGGGTTCACAGTTGCAGCCTTGAGGCGCAGAGTTCACGCTGACATCAGCGCTCATGCTCTGCAGATAAATCTGTGATTTGATGCTGGATACAGATGGCTTCTGCACTGCAGACAGACTGGCCATGCCTTTGCATTTAGACAACCTCAGCTTCCCTGTGGCGTCTTCAACACACTGCCACTTCTGCAGAGAGACAGACAAACTGATAGAATCTAGAATACCTAGAATTTAATAGAACACAATAATATAAAAGTACAATAAAATATAAAAGGGAAAAAGCATGGTACATGAACACGGTAATCGTTCAACAACATGATGCATATCAAAGTACCATAGCATTGCCATCTGATACCATACCTTTTTTTTATAGAAAGCCAGCTCTTTTGACATGACTCATGGCAAATTATCTTAATCTTACTCATTCTTATAAAATATTCTTAGCTCATTCCTGTGTGACTGAACTATATTTGACAGCGTCTGCTCGTGAACACAATTTGTTTGACACCATCAACATCCATTAACTTTTCACTAAGATGAGTATGTGTGCGTGGATGTGTGTGCTTATATGCCGGAAGTAAAAGGTGAACATTCTGCGTGCCCCCTTCATGTCGGCATTCTTACTCAGCTGTAATTAACACAAATCCACCTCGTTAAAAGAGAAACATAAATTACACAGCGCTTGGAGCTGCACACTATCAGAGAGATGAGATAAACATGCCTTTCATTTTTGTCGCTTTTAGTGGCCTTGCTGTTAAAGACATGGGCTTGTAAATGAAAGAATGAACCTATAAGTGCCAATCCAGCATTCAATGTGAACTGTATTATTGCACAGCTCTATGTATACAGTTGGATATATACAGTGCTGATTAACTGATTATATGTAATCCGGTTTGTGTAATCAGATTCCAAAAATTAAGTTTTAAAATACTCGTATTTTGATTACATGATTACATATTATTCAAATGGTCACATGACATGCAGGTAAACAGGTATAATATTTCATATATTTATAAAGTGTTTTATTTTGATAGTTGTAGTTAAAAATGATTTAATTGAAATTCGTATGATTTAATTAAATATAAGCTTTTTATTAAACTCACGAACCCCCAGAAGTTCCTTCACAAACCCGTTTGGGAAACTGTGAGGTAATAAAATGTTTAATGCACTTTATGTTGTTAATAACAACAAATCGAATATATTTCTTTCTTTCCGATGGCTTGATGCTTTTATGTCGTTAAATGTAAACCATATTATCGTCTGGCTCTAATCTGCTAAATGCAACTCTAAGACATGAAGATATTAAAATATTACAAACATCAACATCATGATTTTCTGTAAAGCTACTTTGAAACAATGTGCATTGTGAAAAGCACTATACAAATACATTTGAAAAAATGTACTGCACTAAAATATATATTATACATAAAGTAAATATTTTACAAAGTATTTTGGAATCTAAAATTGCTATAAAATCAAAGCCACGTATCTAACTAAGTTACATTCCAAATTTGAAGTTGACATCACAAAAAATTAGTTTCCTGTGAGATTTTGTTTAGGCACTATACCAAAAACATCAAACACCACAGAATTTTTTTGATGAATTTTCCTGTCACAAATTCATACATTTCTGTCATAATATTACTTCTATCACAAAATAGTCATCAAATATGGAACCCTTTGTCAAGATTACAAAAAGCTTTCAAATAATATCTAATTGATGATGATTACTATAGATGATAGGAAAAAAGGCAATCAAATAGAGTGCCAAGTGACTGTTAACTGACAGTCAACAGGTTAAGGGGATAGTTCACACAAAAATAAACATTCTGTCATCATTTACTCAGCCTCAAGCTGTTCCAAACCTGTATGAATTTCTTTATTCTGTTGAGCACAAAACAGGATATTCTGAAGAACGTAACCAAACAGTTGATGGTAGCCATTGACTTCCATATTATGGCTACCAGTCAATGGCTACCAGCAACTGTCTGGTTACCAACATTCTTTGAAATATCTTCTTGGAACAACGTGAGGAAGTAAATGATGAAAAATATTTTTTATTTTTGGGTGAACTATCCCTTTAAGTAAATAAGGTATTAAAACAAGGTATTACAGACAGCATGTGCACACAAACAACACTTTCTCCCGCAATTTTCCCTTTTTCTTGGTTTGAAATTTAGACTTTTTCATGCTTTGCATAGGTGTGAAGGTAACGGCAGACTGTTCCTTGATCAAAGCAGGAAAGCAGATGGGTTAAGGGGATAGTTCACACAAAAATAAACATTCTGTCATCATTTACTCAGCCTCAAGCTGTTCCAAACCTGTATGAATTTCTTTATTCTGTTGAGCACAAAACAGGATATTCTGAAGAACGTAACCAAACAGTTGATGGTAGCCATTGACTTCCATATTATGGCTACCAGTCAATGGCTACCAGCAACTGTCTGGTTACCAACATTCTTTGAAATATCTTCTTGGAACAACGTGAGGAAGTAAATGATGAAAAATATTTTTTATTTTTGGGTGAACTATCCCTTTAAGTAAATAAGGTATTAAAACAATACAGACAGCATGTGCACACAAACAACACTTTCTCCTGCAATTTTCCCTTTTTCTTGGTTTGAAATTTAGACTTTTTCATGCTTTGCATAGGTGTGAAGGTAACGGCAGACTGTTCCTTGATCAAAGCAGGAAAGCAGATGGAGGAACAAAGCCTGACACAAAAAAGAAATAAAGAGATGGAGAAAAGAGAAAGGGATGGAGAGAACAGATAATGCAGGAACGGGCTGCAGGTCCCTGGAGGACTACAGTGGGCCAGTCTTGTTAGAGTGAAAGTAAGAGCATGAAATATCAGGTGTCTGATCTGACAGCTCAGACATCTCTCTGTTCTCACTTCTGTTTCATAAAACTGCTCACAAACACACACACACACACACACACATACACACACACACACACACACACATACTTGTGAGGGTCTTTATATGCCAAAAAGTATTACCATGTTTTTGGACATGGTGCCATGGTAATATTATGGTATTATTAAAGTACCTGTTTATTAAAATGTAGTACCTCAGTACTAATGGTTAAAAGTTTGCTAACTGCTTTACATGTTAAAATGCCCCTATTATGCCATTTTTAAGGTTCCTAATATTGTTTTGGGAGTCTCCTGCAATAGGTTTACATGCATGCAAGGTCAGAAAATGCTTTTTTTTCTCAAAATATGCATTTAATATCACCTCATTTCCCAACGATTCTCAAATGATTCATTCGAAGCAGTTCAAGATATAGGGCAAGTTCAAGCTCAAACCGGTGTGCACCGTTTTGCTACGGTTTCCGGTTTGAACGACATGTTTCCTGGAAACGGTGTGCAACGGGGTTTGAGATACGTTTTCTCTTGTTTGGTGGGTGTGTCAAACATGTCAGCCCAATCAGCAGCAACATGTATGTAAACCACGCGGTATTAAAGAGACAGCTCGCACAATGTAATTAACATCCAAATAAATTCACAAGAGCAAGTATATTGTTTGCACATGTTTATTTACATTAAAGGCAAAATAACTAAAATAATAAGAGCACAAGTATAGATCTGGAACTTCTTTAAGTCTGTCTAAATACAATTTAGTAATTGCAATGTCTTCTGGTCCAAATCCTTTCCTTAGGAAGGTGTGCTAGACACTGATTAACCCCTTAACTGTCAAAGATCGGCGACGGCCCCAGATTATTGTTGTTTCAATTCCA